ATTCATTCTAAGATTGTTTTGAAGTTTTCTCAAATAATTTAACTCTGAGATGCAAAATATCAAAGATTTCTCTCTTGAAAGAAATTAATAGATTTAAGAATATCAAAACATTATAGTGAATTTAATTGTTTGTTGAATCTATTGAATTATTTATTCAATAGTGATAAACTTCAGTTATTAGGATTTATGATATGATGATTAGGGTTGAAAAAGTGTCATAAGAATAGATTAAGCTTTTAATTACTGCATTTACTGAAATATAGAAATTATGAATTGATAAAAGGTTAAAGGCAAATTAGAAATCTTTAGAGATAGAGAATATTGTAAGTTTTTATGACGTCTAAGTCTCAGTCTTTCATGATACTTAAAGAGTAATGGTAAAGTGTTGAAATAAAGCTGAAGTATTTAACTGGTCCAAGCAAATAATTGAATTAAGAGAATGTATGTCGAATGCAGATAAAAATTTGAACTTAACCAAAGAGAAAATTACAATTGATTTTGCTCTTTGCACCTTTACTTGACTCATACTCTAGATGAATTATTGATAATCTTCATTAAGGGAAAGATGAAAATAAAATTGAATTATCTCAAAGGTATCCTCTTAGATGTACAAGCATATACTTAAGTTCACTTGTATCTACTCTCACATACATGTATAGTTATATGTATATATATGATTTTGCTTCCCATGTAAATGTTGACAAAAAGAAACTAAGATTTTCTAATTTTCTAGGTCAAACTGCTGCACCATCATGGAGTCCAAGAGCACCCTGGCAGAAGCAGACTCGACCTCCATGTTAGCCATCCCACAGTCCAATCCACAGTCAAGTGTGTCACAGACCTCACCAGCACTCTTGTCACCTTCACATTCCCCTTCAGATTTATCACCAGCACAGTCCCCAAAACACATGTCTCCTTCTCATTCTCCATCTGCGATACCTGTCTCAGGATCTTCACCCACAGTTTTGTCACCTTCAGACAGTCTTAGTGACCCTTCACAGCCATCTACAATACAACCTTCCTCATTGTCTTCATCGGTCATTTCACCTCCTGAGCTACCATCTCCAGGGAGCATCTGGGCAGAATCAGTATCTTTATTACCATATGTACCATTATCACTGTCATCTCCAAATGAGACGCAGCCTCCTGCAACACAGTCTAATGATTCCCCATCTAGTATATCATCGCCAACACCAGCCAATCCACAGTCTCCCTTGGCTGTCTCAGTGGACCAAGACTCATATTACCTTCTTAATGCACAACCTCCTGTAAAGTCATGGCGTTATGATCCTCTAGCATCCCCAGATTGGGATTGTGCAGGACCACCTGGATGTCTATGTGCTGGACGAGTTAAAAAGTAAGAATCCAAGAATTTGATTTTAAAGGTTTTTCACCTAATATGACATACAGGATTATAGAAATAATGTGTTTTAAATATTTTATATATGTATTAGTAAACTGAATAAACAAGGAAAAATCATGTGATTCATACTTCATTTCAGAGACCTGAGCAGTATCTACAGTGAGCCACTTCCAGGAATTTTTGTTGTACCTGATGAACAAAACCTCTTTAAAGTTAACTGCCTCATTATTGGACCATTTGATACACCATATGAAGGTGGATTCTTCCACTTCCTCGTCCGTTTTGGTCCCCAGTACCCTCTCCATCCACCAAGAGTACGACTGCTGACGACAGGGGGAGATACAGTCAGATTTAACCCTAATTTATACAAGAATGGCAAAGTTTGCTTAAGTATTTTAGGGTAAGCACATTCTCTGTAGAGATACTGTACTGATAGTAGTGGTATGATTTTAAGTAGTGGGATACAGTATACTCACTAGTGTAAGGCATATATGTTTGAAAGATGAAAGTTAGTGTCAGAGATGGTATTTTTATCACATTCTAGAGGAAAGATGTGGCTTAGCACAGTATATTATTTGCTAAGGGCTCATTTATAATATCAGTCTCCCCGGTAGAACATGGTCTGGTCCAGCGTGGAGCCCAGCATCCAACCTCTCCAGTGTTCTTTTGTCATTACAAAGCCTGATGAATGAGAACCCTTATCACAATGAACCTGGATTTGAAAAGGTAAGATCCAGAAAATTATTACATAAGCTGAAAGAAAAGTTTGATTGATAATTTACTTTTTACCAAAGTTATTATATCCTATATCAGGATTCTTAATTTAAATTTTACAGTCGAAATCTATAGCCTTTATTTAAAAGACTAGGGTCTTAAAATTAGACTTGGTTGTTTTGAACACAGACAGCATTTTGTGTAATCAGGAATAATATTTTCTAAAACGAAGATCACCATTGTTGATCACTTTTTAAAAGTAATGAATTTCAAGTACTATTGAATTGTAATTGTAGAATGGGTCAGATTTTCACCCTTAACCCAATACTGCTGGGGATGGCATATATGGACATGCCATGCCCACAGAGAATTTAGTCAATTAATTGTATTTACACATAGGTGGCTCCACAGGTGCTTAGTCACCAATGAGTCACTAGTCAAACCTGTTGCACCTCTTTACCCTTTTCCTTGATTTTTGGTAACACTATTAGTGTTTTTGATAGACTATGATAATTATAATGTCAGTCAGAATAATAACAGTATCCATATTTGGAGCATTAGAAATAAATCCCAAAAACTCAAGGAAGGAGAAAATCAGGTTAGCGCTCATAGACTACTAATTGACTACTTGGTGACTGTGCACTAGTGGAGCTATCTTTGTGTAGATACATTTTGCAAAACAACACTACAGTGAACATCACATTTTCCTGGTGGCACTGGGTTAATAGATATGAAAAACAAATTTTTATTCAACTGTTAAAGTATCCGTCTTATTGAGAGAGTCAGTGGTCATGTGTAATTAGACTTTAACTCACTGCCTTTAAATGGCCCATATGTTATGTCATGCTGAGAATAATCATCATATTGGAGACATGTAGGTCATGTTATCAGTTTCACTGTCTCATCCCGGTTTATAGCCCCTTAATTATGCAGAATGTGCATTGTGCTTTTTGCTGGAATTTTAATCTCAAAGTAGCGCTAGGGGCTCAAGTCTATCAATTGCACAAATCATGACTACTTTTATTTATATAATGATGAAAACAAGCACTCTTGTTTTGTCCATTTTGTCATTTTAACTGATCTGGAAGCATTGGGTTGAGCAAAAATTGTATAATTTTATCCATCATTTAATTTTCAAATTGTCAGTTTAGGAGTAACTATTTAGTGAAAGATTGTAGGAAACTGAATACTATTATTTGACAAAGTTTTAAGAATTAATAATATGCAAATATAGGTATAAATATTAACCCATTGGATCCGATTGATTCACTACCATTACATGGCCCAAAATACAGGATTACTTGAATGGGCACTCTGCTGCATGTGTGGCTTTTAGGCTGGGTGCACATGAACACTTATGTTTGGTGACAAGATTCCATGCAATGTTATTTTCCCTTTTACTGCATAAGTGTTTTTTAGCTTTTTTGCTATTTTCTGATGTCTATATTTATCATTTGATTTGCCAGATTGCTCTAAGTAGTCCATTGCTCAGTGCAATAATAATAAATACCATTTCATTATTTATGTCATTTTTATTTTTTTTTTTGTAATATTCAATTTTCTGTAATACAACTTGTGCTACTGGTCTTCGTAGCTAGGAATAGGTTTCTGAGCATGAAAATAATGTCCTCCCTGAAGCCTCACGAACAGTATGTTCCACACTTGCTTATCATTAGAAAAGCCCCTTCCTAACACCAAATGAGGCTACTCACCTTTTAATAGGTTTGTGAACTTGTGCTGAGTGATTTTTGTCATACTGGCTTGAGCCGAAAGTTCTTGTCACCCTAGCTTACAGCCAAATTTTATCATGGTGGCATATTCACGTCATCCGCCCTGCAAACCAAATTTCTTTATGATGTGATGGTTACGTCATCTGTTTTGTAGGAGTTTACCTGTAAGACCGCAGCCTCACAGCCTGCAGATGGTCTAAAGTCTGGGCATTAGGCTTACTTGAGTGGTCACATGAACACTTGTGGTATCATGACTCGTTGCCTCCCTATTGGAATGCTATTATCTCTTTTTCTGCCTTTTTTTTTTTTTTTCTTTATTGCCATTTTGCCATATATTTGTCAATTGTTATGCAGTATCAAGATGGCAGTACACTTTTTCTTGTTAAACAGACTCCATATCATCTCTCTAGCTAGTCTAAAACTGCAGTAATAGTAATAAGTAAGATATTGTCATTTGAGTTTTTCTGTAATACACTATGTGGCAATGGTCACAGGAGATAAGAATGGGATCCTAAGCATGGAAATATTGTTTTCAGCAGTAGGCTCTCGTCATGCCACCCGGATCCAATTGGTTAAATATAGTTTTGTAAAGATAGGAAATGTACTTGTAATATTGATTTTAGTTCTAGGCACACATGGTATCTAAAGATTAACCAAAACATAAATAAATGGTTTTGTTACTAAGGCACAAATAGATATGATTTGATTTTGAAAAAGTAATAAAGTGTAGATTTTAGTACTTTGATATTGTATACTAGCGTAGCTGTTCATGAGTAATAGACTTACCAAATATGCAAGTTAACTTTGTCATCATAGCCAATAAGACTGCTCTCCAGCCAATAAAATGTCTGACAGATATTTATTTATTTGCCAGATCTATATTGTTTGTGCTAACAAGTAACATAAGAAAAAACAAGAAAGTAATGTATTTTTACACATTTCAGGAGCACAAGGCAGGAGACAGTGAGCGTTATAACACCATCATAATGCATGAAACGATTAGAGTTGCTGTTATACAACAGTTTGAGGGTGTTACCATGGTGCCAGCAGATCTCATGAGAGTTATGGAAGCTTCATTTCTGGAGTATTATGATCATTATGTTGAAATTTGTGAAAAAAATATGCATCTAGATGGACAAACCATGGTGGTAAGTAAAAAATTTCCAATTTTTGATTAAGGGAACCGTCCCAGA